CACAGAATGTGTGTACTGCTTGTCGCTTATTTACTTTTCCGGAAACGATCCACTGAAATGCCTTGTTAAAGGTAAACTATTCTACTGGCGCCCACCTCAGCCATATTTTTATCGCCCAAAAGCTCACGCCTCTGTTAACCGGCCTTGGCATCACGTGTGATTAGTCTTAAACACCGCCTGTTGCCCTATGTTTTCCTGGAGCGTTTACGGTAAAACGTCGTGGAAATCTTTGGGTTTTAAATCAAACATTATGCCAGCTCTTTTCGGCTGGCTGCGGTAAGGATAGTCAACCTGCAGCTAAATTCTTTTAGTCAGGTTTGGGCATGGCACAATTACCCTGAAGTTAATAAACTTTTTTGTGTAAGCAGTGTATGCTGCCTGTCCACACTCATCGCCTCATGACCGCTGTTATGACTCAAAACAACAAAAAAGACTTAACACAGATTTTTCTCCTATGTACGCGATATGAATCAGCGTCATGTTGGTGGCATGGATGATATGACTATGGTCGGAACTTGCTTTTGACGACCTCATATGGGTAACAAGATATTAGCTTTAGAACGTCGTTATATGACAACATTGGACTGCTAAACTACCTTTTGATACTTTCTCCAGATACCGTAAGCTAAATCAAACGGCGCAAGTACAGTACTCTAAAAAAAAATAGGTATCGTAGTATACTTGGCCTTTGAAAGGTTTTGTTGACCTCGGTGGCTAACATGTGATTATACATATATATATATATATATATATATATATATATATATATATATATATATATATATTCCAAGGTACGTATATATCGATCGCTAGCTGATACTCTTCAGTCGCGATATCTTTCTCTAAATTTCGTTCTGCGAGCGAGCTGTACTATGCAACGCTCAACGGCAGTCCAATGCTCAAACCGCACTTCTATCGTCTACTAAGTCTGATTCAGCAGTTAACGGTATGCATGTCGGCTTAATTTCACAGTATCGGCTTAATATCTCAGCTTCCAACTTTAGCACATCGAGATATGGCCCTGCAGTCGACAGGTAGTTTAAACAGCGGTCCGCCCAGACACCCCTTTGCAAATGTGTTGAGTAAAAAATCATTCGAGAAACCATTAAATATAGACAACACCTTCTCGAAGGAACGCTTTGAAGTGAATTAAAGTGTATCGTAAGCCCCTAGGTTCCACTTCCGCGATTAGTGTTTTTCGGAATAACACGAAATGTTGGTTTTCTCCATGTGTGGCTCTCTGCACATTCAACTATTGTCAAGGATGTACTTAAGATAGAGGCTCTTCTTTCCAATCTTAAAAGAATACTGCGCCATGAAAAGTCCTGCGCTCTCCTTATGTTGTTCAGCTCGATACAGCAATACCGCGCTACCGGCACGATCAGCCGTCACAAAACGTCTTGGCACTGGCAATGGCATTCTATGGATGACCTCAACGTCGTATCCTGGTGGGATCAGGGCCCAGAAAATCAATGTTGAACACAAATTTTCGACAACTTTTTCAACTACACGCACTAGGTTATAGAAAAGTAACAGTTAACAGTTGCATCAGGCATACGGCAGTTAAAGCTTCGACGACTAGTTCGCACTCTTTTTACGTAAAGCAGCAAAATCTCCCTAACTCGGTTCCGGTCGCGTTAATCTGCAGCCTCGTCTCCAAGAGTTGCCCAAAGTGATGCAAGATGGGCTCCCGGTTGTGCTGTATTTCGGCAATTGATAAATGAGCTCACATCGAGAGTTTTGAACGAAGTCCTTTCGTGTTTACGGAAGCGTAGAATAAAGTCGCAATCAACGAAAAATTTCGTATGAACCATTAATAGTGAAAGAAGTGCCGAAGAGCTTATTGGCGCGACTAAGGAAACCTTTCAATTTTTTCTTCGCTCGTAAAGCCACCTGTACTGTACCTACATGGTAAGAGCAGAGCTTCTTAGGCATAGACTTTTGGAATCGCAGCGATTGAGGGTTGCTTATCGTGTAATTTTGAGATACGCAAGCCAACTAAGTCGAGACGTCATAGGCTCGAAACCATTTGCCGGTTCAAGAAAAAGACTTCCATTCAATGTAACGAAGGCCCGAACGACTCTGTCGTATTAGAAGCCATATTATACGGTCTATATAAGTAGATGTATTAACTTATGATCCGAGGTAAAGCGGCAAAAAAGAAAAAAGGCGCAATTAGCTTCTACTAAAAGAAATTTTTGAACCATATTTTCTTAAATTGTACTTGCTTTGATCGAAACTGAAATATAATTTTTCTAGTCAAGAAAAATGACAATGATTCTATAGTGATTAATTGGCAGTTGGATAAGATCTATTTTAAACGATTCATGCCTTGATTTCGTTATTCGTGAGTCTCCATGTATCTATATCTTGCATTTCGCGTGGTTGAAAAGTCCACTGGTAGCTTCGGGTGCGATGATGGTTCATAAATCCATAGAAACATAAACAGCAGTCTCTAGCGAACTGTTGTTTAAGTTCCATGTATTTAATAATGAGTCTAGGTAGTATACCAGCATCTTAATATCGTTTCAGTGAGTTTTGTAAGCAAGAAGTTGAAGGATTCCAGTATATGCGTCTACAACGCCTAGCATATGATATTCGCGTAACATGCATTAAATACGATCTTCAAATCCAATTATACACAAAGCATTAGATTATTATTAAGGAAGGCTTTACTAAGGCGCACTCCAGCTTCTAACACAGCCATAACCGAGCTATCTGGGTCATCAAAGGTAGATATTCAACTGAGGTTACCCGAAAGAAACAGGCAATATGTCTGTAACATTTACGTTCATAGAATATCATACACGCGGATACCAAGCTAGTTCCATAGACATTGATAACTGTTGTTAGCGTTTCAAGTAGCCGGGTCGCGTATTCTGGCAAAACACGTGCAGGAACATCTTTGAGACAATGCGGCCGAAATCTATAGCGTCCAAAGGCTAAACTGTGTCGTAATGATCAAAAAGATCATTTGAGACCGCTTACCGTTCTGGAGCCCGTCCACGGATGTTGATCCGTTGATGGCAGACTCTCTCCACCAGGTGGTAGCGGGTGTTTGTCGTCGAAAGCAGCAAATTTTTGACCACTTGTTGTGCGGACAAGGTAGCGTCATGTCTCCTGTAATATCACTTTACGCTGATTTAAACTTGGCGCTCGAGTAATGGACATGCGGTCGTTCGTAGCGAATTTACGGGTGAACCGTATGACACCTATTCGATGTTCAACAGAAGCTCCAGACATATAGTCCAGTAGATCATCATGGACTTCAGCAGGCAGGCAGGCCCTTGAGATATGCTTGTTCAGCAACATTTAAAGTCGTATTAAAAATAGGAGACCTCCATGATTGTTTGTCCTTATTACTGTGGGCTGGCTACTATTGTTGTACGACAATTGTAAATCCGTCAGCCGCTATTTATCTAACATCCTTGGGCATCATGCCCTAAATATGTACTTCTTTTAAACGTTTCTGTAGCTTAAAATAAAAGTGTTATCCTCCGATCCGATTCACTTCGTCTATTGTGGACGAGGCGTTCATATGTGAAAATTTAACGTTCTTCTCGTATAAGTTTCGTACATATGTCGTCATCATCATGCATGAGGAAAAATACTTTAACCTGGGTCTCAACCGATAAGCGGATCTTATTATTCGATATTGGTGTTATACTTAGATAGAGACCTGCTTAAAATTAGGAAATAAAAGAATCGGGGCGAGCAGTGTAATTATCACGTTGAAGGGCGCTCGCTGTACTGCAATCACACTCTTTTTAGGGCAGAGGCGATAGGGAGTTGTCCATATAATCGTGAGGCGCTATAGCGTGATTTTTGATTACGGGTCGCCATAGATACCAGTCGGAAAAGTAGGAATAGTGAGCATCGCATATTTCTGGGTAGTCCTTGCACCGGGTTGAGATTAAATTTGACTGTTTTTTTTACCAACAGAACCACGCACCACAATACTTGGGACAACTGCTGCGTATGCCATTTTTTGATGAAGTAAACTGCGAGAAACACGATTCCACTACACGTGCAGAGGAGCAATTTATTGGGCAAATTCTAGGAGCTTTGCATTCAAAAGTGGCATTCAATAATTTTTTTTCAAAACGCAGAAGTACGCAGCAAAGGCTTTTGATATAGACGGCCGGGAATTGCGCAATTAGCGCCTGCAGGCGAAGCTTTGCACCGGGTTGCAAGGTGTTTAGTCGATTAAAATTTAAAGCATAATAAAAGCCTGTACCGTCTTCCGCCTGTATAATCTACCATCGAATTTTAGAGTTTATTGGGTTAGTGAAAGAGTTATAGATTTTAGTTTCACCAGACCCATTAAAACGTTCGTGATTGACTCTTTTGTACGTGCACGTCATTTAGTACATGAGACCGAAACGATAGTAATTGAATTCAGCTCAGCACTATATAATTGTTCTGTGAACTATGCCAGCGACAGTGGAGTTATTCAAGTATTTGGGAATTCGTATCCACTATATTAATTATTATTCGTAGGCTACGTAGTCTTGTCTTTCAGTGCCACTGCATTTCGACTGAATGGTAGTTTGCTGAGGCTATTTGTGTCAGATCTAGAAGTCTTTTCTATCCCACGTTGCCTTTAAATCAAGCAGCTATGGCTTAATCTGTGATTTGCCTCATTTATACTAGACAACATAACACTCATTATCTGTGAATAGCGTAGTGATATCGATAGACGACGTTTCCAATTCATTCGATCTTATCCTTTACGCTCGAAGGCTTGACTAGATGGTTTGCCCAGTCTTTAGGTGTCATGTTTATTACTAATTACTTTTAGTGTTATAACTGCTGCCCGTCTAGATTAAACTCATGAGCCTAATGTGAGTAAATAAGCTACACCTGATTATAATTGATGGATGAAATCCATCATCGTAACGTTTTGGAGAGCATGCTGTTAGCATCCTCATGCAAACTATATGCAATATTTTCTGTGAAACAGAAACAAAATGTCAACTCATATCGTATTGTCAACATACCGTATCTGCGCCTCCTAGTAGAAAGTCGCTCATAAGTGCAACGATATCTTCATAAAGCAGATCGTCACGGCTAAGCATATGTTGAAGTATTGTCATTTCTCTGCCTTCAGCTGGAGTTTTTCGGGCGTCCTTTATATTCCGAAAGATAACCCTGAAGAAAATCATAAGCAGAAAACGGTAATACTATTATTCTGTTCCATAATGTTTCTAATTTTGTTCCATTGACACAAGCTGTGCGTATGCGAACCAACGATTTTTTCGACTCAGCACTCAAGTTCTCCTCTGTATCTTAGCAGACGCAGAACGAGAGGCAGACCCAATGCTTCGTTAAATTAAGAAATTTATATGACTATTTTTGAGGGTGGTCAGAGGCGCATTGAAAATAGTGCTTTACTTTCCAATTTTATCTTAGTTCTAGTTAGAAAAAAGCATATTCGTGCAAAAATTGTAAATCGAATCAAGATACCGCGAAGTTAGAAAATATAATGATGATTTATAACAGTAATTTTTGGTATTACTTACAAAACGAGGACATACTTAAGGGATTCGATAAAAAGCTACGAAGGGGCAGCCGAATTTCAAACGAAAGCACTTCTAAGGAACTTTCGCTGCCAGCACATAGTCTCTCGTTTGTTTTAGTCTAGCTTATCTTTGCGAAATGAATTACAGAGACCTTATCTCTCATAATGCGGGTGCAGTGTGTAGACCATAGATCAAAATCGCACTACTTTCCAAGAAGGTTGCGCTAAATGGCAGTAGAAAAGCTCTTTACAGTTACACGGGTAATAAGAATATGTCAGTACAGTGCGTGTTTGTAAATTATCAATGAGCGTTTGACAGAGTAAAACAATAGAAGTTATCATCATATTTTGTTATATAGTGTGGCGAACTGAGTTAGCTCGGTCCATGGCTGGCAGGAACGAGCACGTTACAGCTCATAAACGCGTACCTGGTTTTACAATTTGAAATCTAAAATAATTGATCTTTCGTGGCATTCTCCCACGACCCGGCATACGTCGTAGCCGCTTACATACACACGTGCCCTAACTAACAAGAAAATTTGAACTTTATGCCCAGCTTCTCTGGAAAAGATAATATTAACTTGCTGAACTTCTCGCCAGCCTCTCAGCTTTCAAGAAAAACGTTTGTACAGCTTTATTTGAACTTTTTTTTGTGCACTAATCCTAAAATCTAACTTGGCCCATATCGCCCTTTGTAAACATCTGCACATCCGCTTGACGATCTGGTTCGATGGCCCCTTCTATTGTTTTGCGACATTCTCATATTACCAGCCGCCCACCGCTGTCACCAAAATGAACTGAACTTGCTTAGCTCTGTAGTTGGATGGGAAGAACAAGCGCTTCGCAGCCACTCATCTCGATCTTACATAGCCGCAGGCGTGTATTTATTATATTGAACCTATCGCATTTAATATATTACAATGTTTATTTGATATAATATATTATAGTATAAACTGAGTTTAGGATCGAAGTTTTATCATTGTTGATAATGGCTCACAAGCGTCTACAATTGCGCAAAAAACAGATTTCTGGAAAACACCTCTTCTTTTATATTTAGAACACGATTTTGCAGCGAATTCACTAACAGATTCAATCGTATCAAATGAAATCAAAATGTTAATGGTCAGTCAGTAATGGGGGTAAATAAAAAGAGTTCGTTTATCCATATAATGCACATAGGTTTTGTAGCTAGTATAACAAGCAACGCCATTTAGGGTGTCCCTGCGTCGCTGCCTGTTGGTATCAGAATAAGGCACCAAGGGTAAAAGTGTCAGCATAGTCCGGTAAGCGGAATCAAGCTGTTAATCTATAGAGAGAATATAGCAGCAAATTCATATACTTTAAAAACTAACCCTTTACAGTGAAATATGGGCACCACTGCAGGTCTCATATTGCGCTGACCTGATAAAGTATTAAAACAGTAGCCTGCGTGACATGCATTATTACGCGGATACTGTGATCATTTTATATAACATTGAAAATACTCGATACTATCGAAAAGCAATACTAGCTTTACCGATGAACAGTTTGACTACTTAAACGCGTAGGAGGTGGTTGCTTATACAGTTACATTCGCAAATATGCGTTTATGTGAAAACAAAGCATGATTGCTGTTGACAATTTTATATCAAGAAATTGCATCTGCTGTCAACGGTGGACAACGAGTGAAAAGCGAGGGCCACTCGCTATAAAAACACCAATTAGCAATACCAACAGATGAATAATAGAAAAATCCACCCTATGACCACTTGTACGGCGCATACAAGTACCGTAAGTAGGGCTTTTACAGGTAAAAATAAACGAAAAAAAAATTATAATATTAGAAGCGGACTCAGCTATAGACTATTGGGCCATCGTATGGTCCTCATAGGAAATTTCTCGCCTAGGTCAGATCACTCACTAAAAACAGAGATATAGAGTAAAGTGTAGTGCAAGAGACTCAAAGTAGAAAGTTACGAAAAATAAATTTAAGAAAACGTGAGGTGTACAGCGTGATAAAGTGAGAGTTTACTAGTTTATAGACTGGGGAATCAGATTTTGTTGAATTAATGTTGTGCGAATAAATTTCAACTGACTGTACTTCAAGTATTAGCGGATGAGGTATCAATAGAAGAATGCACACTTGATCGTGGGTGGCAGCAATGAAGCCGTGGCTATAGAGTGAGTTAGTCATAGTGATCACTAAAATTATAAGGAAACCACATTCGACTGGTTTAGGAGAATATTAAACGATATAAGAATATAATAAGAACGAAAGAGGTAGACCGATCGATGCTTAAGCAACATGGAGTAATTAGTATTGGTAAAGAAGAATCTGAATGCTTCAAATTCAACCAATTGAGCGAAGTAGAATGCTTTGGACGTTGGGCATTCGGGCACAGACCAGTAAGTAACCCAACCTTAGTTTCATATGGATTCTAGCCGCTGCACATGCATGACGCACAATAGTAAAGCACAGCAGAACGTGCATCGCTTGCAGAGACATATTGACCCATTAATGGCTACATTAACTTCTTAATGCAAAATGCCAAAAAAAAACAGCGATATGATTTAATTCTTAAGGTATCTTCAGTAAAATCTTGCTGCGCGATGTACTTCTAGGTTCAACAATATCGTATGCAACCTAAGCGTACGTAATTTTTTTAGGCAATTGGAGTAAACGTCCACTAATTTGTTCTATCTGAAACTCCATAATGAAGTCTTCGGGTTATTCGGCATACAGCAATGTGCTATTGTCGTTATGTTACTGCGCAGAATCGGATTTTTGTTCAAAAACCGTCGGACTATCATGAGGTTCAAACTAGGTGCCGTGACTTCACGTCTCAAAATGGATTTTTATATATCGTTCCCACACTTTTCAAGGTTTAACTAAGAGTACAGGCCGAATATAACTACACTGATGATTGCATTAGCGTAAACAAATTCATAAGTAGGGTTACTGTAAGATAAATACCATGAAAATAAAAATCATGGTTATTTATCGAAAATAAAAAAAATCGACAAAAATAATTTATGCTACCAACAAAGATACCTAAGCGGACAGAGGTACCTGTAAAAGTCAGAGCACTTAAGAAATCTTGTATCTATCAAGAAATCTTTAACCTATTAAGAGATTAGAGATAATCTCTAATCACTATTGATTCATCTTTTCAGTACTGTTAAAATGCGAAGCTCAACTAAAGTAGAATATCAAGATTTTTCGAAAGAGTTTTAAGTCGTATAAGCTAAGTCTAAGACATGCAACAATTATTTCTTCAAAAAACTTCCAAAGAAACAGTTTCTAATAAGTATTTTTACAGAACATAATTAGACAAAAATAAAGCCACACTTACTCGGTAAAGTCATCCATAGCGGCCTCGAAGCGCTTCCAACTAGGCGTGCGAAAGTACCGCCAGAACGGTAGGCGATAGCCAAAGATTTGCAAACACTCAAATATTACGTCCATTGATTTAAGGACGCGATCTGCGTCGCATCCCTCGGTCAACTCTGTATTCATGCACTGTAGTCGCTTATCTAGAGCGACATATAATACGCTTTCTAGGGACCATTTGTAGAGCAGACGAAGGCAATTCCACTGTCCAGGTCCGAATCGACTCTGGTAGTCACGGATCAGCTCCAGCGCTTCTTCAGCAACGTCGTTCATGCTGGGCACGTATGACATAATTGTGCGCGGCTTTAGGGTATAGGGCTGGGTCTTTGACCTATAGTTGTACCATTCTTCTCCTTGCCTAAAAAGTTTAAAAAATAACTTGCTTGTTTGCAGCTCGAGCGCATTGATTCGCCGCTGTTGCAAAACATCTTATCTTTTAACTGCAAAGAGCAAGAGACGACAATATCTGTATACAACAATGCTTACAATGCTTCGTTATCAACGCGATTCTGGCCTTGAGATTGTTAGCAAAACATAAGAACCGCTGTGAGCATTAAGGACACATATCTATGTGTAGCATAAGGTAAAAAAAAATTGAGTTTGGATAAGTGAAACTTGTAATAACATGTAATGAATAAGTGTAACATGTATTAGAACATAAATAAATGTTAAACCATATTATCATAGACATAAATTACATATAATAACATATACTTAACTAAAGCGTATAGTCTATTAGTCTATAAATATTTTCATTTTAGTAAATTGGGCGTAGGTTTTCTTGAACACATCATTAGCTCATATGTCAGAAGTTAATGGCCTTTTGAATTAAGCACAGGAGAAAATGTTCAATCGTGTTGTACGTATCCAGTTTAATATATATACATAACTGACTAAAAAAGAATTTCCTTAAAGGATTTTTTAAACATATTCAGTTTACATTACATAATCTTTTATGTTCGTTTAAATAATTTTAATTTGCTTAATTAACTTACAATAAGATTGGAAAATATTACATATTACACACTCAACAACTCAGTTATTGTTGAACGCATACGCAGGGACAAAGCATACATTTTAAAGAGACTAACCTCCGGCTTATCCCCTTCTAAATAGAAGCCTCTTGAAGGAAACCCTCTCCCATCAAGAAGCATCAGAACCTTCTGGCAATTTTTTTTGTCTTACGTTCGAAAGGAGTAAAAATTAGGTCATCTCCATGTCGCGTCTGTCCGGTCCACTTGCAGGTCGGTGTCCCCTGCTTTATCATCCGTCGCTCATCCGGCATTCATAATGCGTTTACCTTTTAAATTTAGGAACACTAGCTGGGCCAGCAGTACTACGCACGCTTCGTTTCGTACTAGGAAGAGTCGGCTACAGAAAATAACGCTTAATGACAGTAGAATCAGACGCACGACTTTAGATATTTAACCCTGCTAGGAGAAGAATAGAGCTGTAAATTTTTCAGTCAAAAAGAAAAAACGTAACTATGCTTCACTGAAAGCCTTGAAGCACGGGAGACTTATTTCTTCAACTAAGTATGTAAGTAAAACCTGCTGATTTACTCTGCTTCTGATCATCGGTCATTTCGCGCGTAATTTAAGGCACTTGCAGAGCAGTGCCACTTGTTGAGAACGACAAAGCGAAGTTGCACACCGCGATCTATTCTTAATGACTTAAGAAAGGCAAGATCACACTTTGAACACTATATTGATTGCAGTAATCGCTCCTGTTCCAGAGGCTCTACGAAGTAACAAAAAATACTCTCGCTGGAAATCGCATTTAAGCAACTGACAATCAACTGTCCAGTCGAGTTTTGGGACTCATACCACCACCTTCCCTTTGTCGTAGCTAATTATCCGGCAATAGATATAAAGCAACAGAGAAGATTCATAACAACGAAGTACCATGCTTTAAGATATAGCTGACGACCTAAGTCGCATTTAAGGGTTCATATTTTTTTGTGAATGCGTTAAAAAGAATTCGACTGGTTATTAGAGAGTGACCTAAAATGTTTTGCGTTTTCAATTGTAGCTAAAGATGTACTTCTCTGTGCTAGTAAAAAGTTTATACAGAATATTCTTACTTTTGAAATGACTTCGTAGGGACAAGTGTAGTTTGATATTGAGACTGTTGTTGCTCATTTAGTTCATAAAAACCCATTCTCTTGCCCCCTATATCTTTCTTGTGAAGACAGTTCCAAACACCTTGCTAGGTCACTCCTACGTGATCAAGAACCTTCCGGTGAGTTTGAGCGGGTTTCTTTGAGCAGTAGTAAGTTCTTCGTTTTGAAATGGCTTGGAACGCCTAGGCTATAAATTTCTTCGGCCTTCCTTTAGACCCAGGGAAAATTTCTTCACGAAATCTAGCAACAGCTTTCTACCACTGAACTATCACCCAAAGTTCCATTGATATATTCTGTTGTCTGGGTAGTATGTATTTGCATTTTTGGGACAAACAACATACAGTGTCCCCAGTGGCGCGCTTGGATTTCCATTTATACACAGGCCACATTGCTTCTAGACAGAGAAAATGGTACAAATGTCCGAGAACACGTAAAGTCAGAGCAGGAACCGAATATTAGATCTACCTTTTCCTCAAACAGTTATTAGAATAATCAACGTTTCGGCTAACATTTTACTTGCACATTTGAAATCACCAAATGTGTTTTTTTGTGGACGTATAATAAAACAGTAAAAATAATGGTATGGAAGTATACTACACAGTACTAATTAAACAGACGATCGGTTTCGGTCATGCCAATGCGTTAGCTTTCCTATGTTACTCAGAGCATCAACTAGCTACGGCCCGTAAAATAATAGGGATCGAAAATGATTGCTTGTTTATTAATAATCCAGGTTCGCGGCCCTTTTTTGTACACTATTAAAAAATGATCACAATATCTGTATGTATACATTTTCATTGATCTTAGGCACAACCATTACTTTCATTCATTACTTACATAATATTACAATAAAAACGTTTGGCACAAACCTTCCCTCATATAAATAGATTATTATGTTTTTAATTGTAATACTATCGTACTTATGGCATATTGCTGTCGCTTAGGTTTGCCTACACACGTATACGCTTAATATCTTCTCCAATACGTACATGGTGAGATATCCGATATTATGATACCACTGTGGTCTACTGGAGCGGTACTTCTTAAAGGCTGCACTGCCGACGCGGAAAGGCGTTCGACCCTCTGATTGATACAGCGTCTCAATATCATCAGCATCAAAAAGGTGCACGAGAGGATACCGTCCTCCAAGGTATTCAACAACGATCCTTCCGTGTTTCTTGTAAATATCTCTGGCCACGTGGTGCGGTTTATCCGGGTCATATCCACCTTTCAATGAAAATTTATATAATGCAGTTTAAACAAGTAACTACCGATACCGACAAACTCCGAACCGAAGGTGAAGCTCTTCTGCAAAATCCCAACCGAAGGGGAAACTAGGCCAAATATTGTGATATACTGCTCGAGTGAAGTTCAATGGAAAAGCTAATTAAATGTAAAACATGAGTCGTTTAATAATGCAACATGGATTAGCTAGCATTGATAGATTTAATCGCCAAACATGCTTTCTCGCGCACTCTATGTATAAGCCTTATTAAGCAGGTAACATGTCTTGACTATACATGACTTTCATATCTACAATGTTTAGTTTATAACGTTAAGTATGTACTTGATATTTGTTTTCTGCTTTGGTATAATATCGATAACATGAATTCGTCTAGTTGATACTTTAATAAACCTGAACAAAGTTGACAGCGAAAAATTACTGAATAAGGTTCGGAATTTTATTTAAGAAAGTCCCCACTGCGGTTTAAATAGCCATCTTTATATCTACGTTTATATCTAATAAAAATAACGTTCCTTACGTGCTTAATAATATAGTTTTTTACCACCGAATCTTTTACAAAACTCTCCAGCAGGACAGACTAGTATCAGTTGATACGATGAGAGATTTTTTGCTAACTGCAGAATAAATGAATAAGAGGCAAGTTACAACATCATTGACTTTTTTTTAACATATTCTTCCTTCTAAGATAATGAGCTAGCTGGCTGGCCGATGTCTAAAAGTGTCGCTGAACCTTGACACCAACAAGCATCACAGACACTGATGCACTTACTTGTCTACACAGTTTTTCAGAACGTCGAATATTAAAGAAGGAACAAGCTCATTCGATGGTATGGCGATGGCGAAATATTCCAGAAAACATATTTAATAGACTTTAGTCACTTCCAGCAGCACTACCCCTAGGGGAAATACCACGCAAGCAAATCAAGTATTTGAAAGGTTTCTATGATGCAAACAAGCGTAGCGGCTCAAAGCAGTAGACCAATCCGGATAAACCGTCTCGATGATTAGAATATAATTGCATAATTACCTAAACAATGCTTAAAATTTCAGAGCTATGTACATTTTCGCAAACAAAAATCCTTACTTACTTTACGTCAAGAATACAAATAATCTATTTGTCTTGTTTGGGCAGAAATTATCATTATCGGCACTCTTGTTTTTTTTTTTTAATATTAGGTAAGCCCAATATTAAAATAATATCGTAAAACTATATTTAATTTACCATTAGATTTTGTTATTTTTATGATAGTTTAGTTTCCCATTATTCGCCTTTACAGAAAAAGTTAGCACTGCTCGATTTTAGCCAAAGCAAAAGCGTCCTTATTAACGTCGCAGAGCTTGTCATAAATTCTCGCTTATTCATCCTTCTCTATTATGGTCTACAAATACCTAGTTACTAGTATACTTGTAACCATACAAGACGCTGAAGGGGCCGTTCCAGGGATTGATGGATTCCTAGTTTTTTAGGTATAATCTCTGCTAAAAACCTGTTCTTGTGTTTGCCACGAAAAATAACATTTTGCATATAGACTAGAATTCTTTTTAAGAAGCATCGTTTTGAGGTAGACAAATGCCCCCGAGCTATAAAGGTTTTCTATGAGAATGCGCTAACGCGATTTTCAGAACGTCGATGCAATGGTAGGTTAGCAGTGACTTGATTGGCAAAGTGTTTAAACCTGAGCACGTTGTTAGAAAATATCTCGATAAAATTAAAGAAACTAGAAGGTAGTTCAGTCGGCTACGAAAATGGCCATGTGACTTTTATATTTCTATTCCGTGTCTTTGCAGGATAATGTCTAAGTTTATATGAATGAAGGATGTTGTTGCCAAAAAGTCTGTACTAAATTAATTAGTTAAGTCACCAGCGTAGCTTAGAACTGTGATTATGTCTAGCATTTACCGAGTATCTTTTTCACCTCATTTCATCCATAAAGTGCGAGCGTTTTCGAACACGACAAAAGGGTAGAACTGATGTTCGGTTTTATGATTTTACCGTAGCAGTAGCATAATCAAATCTACCTGTTCAAAAAGGATGATCTGGTATTTTTGTGAAGAGAAGTTTATAGGATTTTCCTAAATTTTCCGCGAATGAATTGGAAAATGCGCAGCAGCTATCTAAGAAGGGATGGATATGATTCGAACTCGGAAGGTCCCTAGAATTTCACAACAATTTCCACAGTATCAAAATTTGGTGCATTGGGTGAGTACTGAGATAAATAAATCGATTACATGGGAATTTATATGCGCTTGCTTATGATATCGTGGAATTAAGAGATTTTTCCTTGCACACAAAAAAACGTAAGATATATGCTATTCCGTTAGCACAATTTGAGAAGTTCGTTGCATCCACTAGATAATACAGGTAGAAAGTATTGGAGGTTATTCCACTTTTCGCCAAAAGTCTTCGATGACGAAAAGTAAGTCAAATAACGGATGTGAAACGGTGCGTCTGTCAAAATATAGACAATGAGGAAGGACTCCAATTGAGTGTTATCTACTAGACTTAAAGAAAGATTCGTAAAATAATGCCGGTACGACTTTTTGCAGACTTCACGTAGTTCCAAACCTTAGGATAAATAAGACTCTACATTTTGTAAATGGGGCTCGCGATAAATAGGGTCAATCTATTTGACCTATCGTCTTCAGTCCTATCTAGCCTTGATGAATCGTTATATTTTAACATAATGAGATAAAGCGTTGTTCTCGGTAGCCCCTTATCAATTGGCTTTGAGCTGAGTTTTTTTACCCTTAGCGAAAGCAAATAGTACTAAAACGTACCGCTTACATGCTGACGGCGCGGACACATAACGCATCTGTAAGCTGACGGACCAGCTCTCCTCCACCATTTGCTTTGCTTAAATTTACCCTTAAAATGTCAGGCACGTTACGTATAGAAATTTAGGTATTATCAATGACAAGGGAGACGTACGGTTCGCTCCTTCATAGAGTTCGGACTTCGTAGAACGGTTTTTTAAGGTACTGCCTTTCCCTTAGTGAGGCAAGATAAAAACAAGTTCCACAAGTGCTACATTATTACTGTACAAGTAGTAACTGCCTCCACAAAGGTAGCATGCTCAGGCTGGGAACTGTATTACTCTGGCAATGTAACGCGAACGATGTTTCGAATTACAGTTTATAATTCTATTATAGGTGATCATTTAATGCTACACCTTGAGGCCTAATAAAATCAAATTCGATGCATGGGGATAATTCGAACCAAAAGCTATAGCGGCAAGCGGGTTAGCTGCTTTCTGTATCTTTAGGCAACTAAGCGAGTTCTACATACCAGTGCGACCTGCGTCTGGTTGCACTCTAATCCAAATATTCACGGTCCCAAAGAAAGGTCATATCAACTTTAAACAACACTGTTAAGGGGAAAACGTTGCAATTTTGTGTGCGTTTTTGAATGAGCCATCGGCTCCAAACAGAAGGTTTGAGGAGTAGAGCAGTCGCCGCGGTAACCATATTTCATTTCAATACATTTTCTACTCGAGGTAATATAACTGTGCTAAATGTATCTCCATTTTGCTAGATGTAGTGGAAGGATGTATGCTGACTTTCGATGTGAAATCTCTTATAGAACATTTATTATTAATTTGTCTCTTATTTTTAAGTGCATTTTATTCCATAGAAACTAAATACAAATTTTTCGAGGAATCGATAATTGTCTATGCGATAGGATTGGATAGGTTAGGTTTCAAAACACCGACAAACGTAGGTACGCGAGTCTTTAGTTTAAAACTTTAAATCAGCACTTCTGAGGAAAACAGATTTTCGTAGACATACAAGAATGTGCTATAATAATATTAAATACACCGAACTAATACGGTGAAAACCCAGGTCCAGTTCGCTAAGCTTTTGACTCAGGCTATATTTTATAATAGATATTTCCTTTTCACTCAGTAGGAGCAGCAAAATAAATTATAGTATGAAAATACGAGAGGTTAATACGAAAATGTCAATGTGCTTAAAAATCCAATGCGGGCACCAGCTCAGATTTCGTCGCTCCTTAAACAAAGACAAGAGTCGATTCATACATTTGAAACAGGGTTGATTACAGTATTTACATGAAAGAACGAGAAACATGAATAACTTTTAAAAGCCATTCTATAAAAACGGTAGCTTATTTAAAAGTAGGAAATATGAAAACATGCATGTTTAGGGCCATTTACAAGCGCGCTAATGCGCGTAGTGTTTGGAACGATATGGACCGCGGGATACTTTGTCTCGTAGGCAGCGGCTATCTTACCCTGGGCTCTAGTATCCGGGTATTTAACAAAACACACAGAAAGCCGCGAACCCCGTATTAAATCACGATATACCATTTTGTTTTTCAGTGCCACCTCAAGCGGGTTGGTCATCGCACTGATTATTAAATCTGGGTCTGTGTAGCTAGTTTTTAGTTAGAATGCACGGGTGAACACGTTGTAGGCCTGTTTTTCAAGCTGAGTCGAGTTGGCGCCTTAGCACCTCAACAAAAAATGGCGCTTCATAGGCTAATTAGAGTAATATGTTTTTGTTTGAGAAGTGAAGGCCGCTGGCGGCAAGCTGGTTCTACACCGTCGAGTCTGCGCAGCTCATTTACGATGGGATGTCGCTATTAAAAGCAAAATCATATGCTTGCGTAAGGAGATCAATCAGCACGTGTCATTTTTTGATCTCGCTTAGCAGGTAGCTGATGGCTACTGATTATAGAGATAGGCTGATTTTGATTGTCGGCTTGAACCATGCCCGCGGTTTTCCCACAGAAATCAAGCTCTTATCAGGAGTTTTTCCCAAGTAACCCTACAACGTTTTGATACTTTTCAGCGCGTATGTGCTTGAAAGGCGTATGGCATTCTTTTCAAGTTGTATTTAACATGCAGCCTAAGAAGTCAAATACAGCGTATAGTTAATGACGCAAAGTGCTAGGGGTGCGCTGGGCGCGTGGCAGAAGAATCGAACTAGAAGAGTGGGTGATTGCAATGGTTAAAAGCATTATTTTTTTCTGGACAGTATCTATGAGGTTGAGGTGTTCCGATTGGTGCTAAAACCACAGATTACCATCAATGAATAATAAATCAACAAGGTAATTTAATGAAATGTAAAGTTCACTTAGCGACGAGATGGCTTTCGACTACTAGTTTAGCCAATCGTAACGTGTTTATGCGCTAAATTTAGGGACACATGATAGTCTAGGTTCGAAACCGGATTTAGTCAAGTCACACTTCATTTCCTGCCAACCGTATGAAGCAGTGCTGAACGAACAGCATACTGTACTGGACATAAAACTCACAGAAGCTCATTAGGAGAAAACCATTTAATTCGGATACTGGACTGAGAAAGCTACCTCATATCTGACGACCATTTTTTTCGACTGACCTTACAAATCGGATGCGAAATCTTCCGTGCATTGCGATGTCGCTTACTTCATTGTTATGCCGTTCAGTATGATTTCATGTTATTGTCACAACTGCAAGTGTATAATATTATTGGTATAAAATTATTTTATTTAAAGCCATATGTGCTATTTGGGGCAGACAAAACTTATCATTTTTTAAAAACACATTTTTCATAAAACTCAATCTCTTATTACAGTAAAATGCTATCCCGTAGTTGAAAACAAGCAAACGGAAGCACTGTTTTTTTACTGAAACATATTTTTTAGCAGGCTAAGCCTAATCACTAATATTATTATGAAAAGGGCACGATGCACCCAGCTGAATGAATTTTCCGTTGAATCTCTTCCATGTCGAGAAAACATTGTTCTTAACAGAATTACAGATTTCTAAAAAGGACACGCTAGCACTCGAAATTATCCATGTCCAGGGTGTTCAAAGAATTATTCCATTAAATGAGCTATAAACTGATGAAATGTTTCTCATAAATAAGCAAGCAAAATGCAGGGAAATTGTAAACCAGGACGCCCAACAAAAACAAAATGCTTTTAAACTTAAGTTGGATGTGGCTCAATTCAACACCTGGACCGGACCTGTTCCGAAGTTGACTCATGTCTAAGTTCAGAAAAAAATTACTTGTTAAAAAAGTAGTATGCGATCTACTTTATGCGTATATTTGTCATCGCGATGCAAGCCAGCGCTAAAATGAGGTTTGTTGGCAATAACGAAATAACCAGCGATCATTATGCCAAACTGTTGCTCCGGGTTAAATCTGCGCGGGCCGAGCGCGAGTTCGGGAAGATCAAAATCAGTTGTCACTTCATTAAAAAACTCCAGCAGAGTCTATGTTCTACGCAGATCTGCGCGCGAATTCATCGTATCGATGTTTAATATGTTTGAAAGTTCACTCTAGCTCACTGGAGCTGCAACCCAGAATGTCTTCGCGATGATTTAGATATCGTAAGAAATGCCCAAAGAGTAGCCAACCACAACAATGAAATTATGTCATCTATAGATCTTCAATATGAAATCCCAAAACACGACCCGTAATCCTGTATGACAGACTATTCAATCACATTCAACCTCAAAAGGGCTACATTAAAAATCGCACGGTGTAACATCAGTCGCCAGAAGCATTTCTTTCTTAATAAAGATTTATGACTTATCCTAATACATGACTTTAATCCTGAAAATATATTTTTCATTTTAGAGTGTTCAGTGTGTTCTTGCTGTTAGTTTATATCTTACCATCGCAGTATTCAAAAATGAGCAAATCCTGCAAATTAACGCTCAATTTTCGTAATCTTAATTTTTCATAATCAAAAAAATAGATGTTTTCTTCTTCTAAAGCCCTCTAGTGTATAATAGAGTATACCCACTTAATAGATGTGTAAGTAACTGTTTATTACCAGACTTAACAGAGAAGCCAAGCACACTTTGATATATCGACTAGTAATTACGCTTGAAATGAACTGTATACAAGGCGCTCAAATAATTGATTAATCAACACCGGTCATATAACTTTGCCTCTCTTCTACTTGATAACGTAAAGTGTGTGCATGCAAGATATACATACTTACCGATCAGAGGCCAATATATCCAACTGCTACCAAAATATGGAAGACGAAGCATTCTTGGAATCTCAGTAAACGGTTTTGAAGGTTCGTTGGAAATTGTAGTCGATGTCGATAACCTATGACTGGAAATTCTTTTTAAATGGTTGTTAGCCATTTGTAAAACTTTACCCCTGTTTAAGAGGTGCATTTTCACGCTTTATCCGATATGGAGTATCCTATATAGCTTTAGGTGATGCAAATAAAAAAAGCGTTCTACGACTTAATATTCACTTGAAAAGCTAAAGCTGGAGCTGTTCGTCTAATTTTGTAAGTTTTTGTATATAATCATATATACAACATCGACACATGCGTGAACTATGCAAAACAAGTCCGAATGCACATAAACTCAGATGGTTTAACTCTATTAGCAGTCTGTGTATAGAGCCAGTAAACGTAACACACTTTATTCAGGACCACTTATCGTTTCAGGAATCGCTGCTAATTTTCTACTGCTTGACGGACTGTATATTGTTCGACTATCTCAGCTCCTCTCCAATTGGCCCCATTTCTACTGCGAGAGAGGCATAGGCTACAGCTAGGAGCACAACACACCAACGTATCTCTACTAAGACCGATTGCGCGTATGCTGATTATTACGGTTTCCGTTTATGCTTGGTCGCACGTACAGTTCAGTATATTCGAGCCAATCGACGAGAACAGTAGGAGTTCAACCAGCAAAGTTTCCTCGCTTTCTAACGAAACAAAAAAGATGTTTTGAGGTTACCGGCGCTTATTATTTATTTCGATTACAGTCTCTGTTCACAGCAGTATAATCCACCGCCACAAGATAAAAAAAAAAATACGAAGTCTTCATTTACTTTAGACTCAGCTAGCGTAATACTCTTTCTACGAAAAGAATGTTAAAAAAGGAAGATGCCAAATCGAATTGATGGCAAAGGGTCTTTTAATGCACATTGTACTAATGTAAGACCTTTGAAGAATATACTCAATTTTAATCCTCATTAAGTGAGTTTGCGTATTTCAAAATCAAAATTTTAAGAGAAATAAACTAATAAATCAATTAGCCTTATTTCGGCCAGACTATCAGAACCTCCTGTACGCATACATATATTGAGCCCCATCTATCTATTTCATCTGCTTATTACATTGAATTGACATAGGCTGAAAATGTGGGAGCTGCTGATTCAAGCCTCACGAAGGATGTACTATTTTCTGCACGACAGAAATAATGAATATGTATGTAGCAAAAAAATCTTTACACTGTTTAACGGGTTATAACTTTCTGAATCTTCTTTCATTTCAGGATGTAACAAGTTGAAATGATGAGTGGATCAAGAATAACTTTTGAACAAATCTAACTTATTTTAAAATGCTATTGGATGTATGACAGTGTAGCAGAAATATAGAAACAAAGCCACAGGAGGTTTCAGGTTAGTTTATCTACTTTACTTGCGATAAATCGAATAAAGGATAAGTTTGTATATTTCTGTATATATATATATATATGTCTGTGTATACGTATATATCTGTTTAGTATATTTATACGTTCATCATCACGTTTGGAAGACAAACAAAATTAAAGAGCTTTACCAGCCAAAAAGGAATTCTGGTAAATTATACAAAAACATTCCAAACGCCTGCAAGACAATCAAATTGTAAGACGTAAATAGAAAAGTTATGTGCCAGCAATGGTATATGCTTTCAGTCAAGATGATCAGGGGCGAAAAAAGCCGTTTTGCGAATGGTGAATAGGATCAGCAGCGTCTAGAGAGGATTGTTTGAAGTGATGAAGTTACATTCACATAAAGTGGTACAATTAATTAATAGAACTGTAAATGCGCATGTTACGTAGCCACACAATGTAAATTCACCAGGTATTAGCATGGCGTGGCATTTCCAGCAAAGAACGATTCTTTTCTCACAGTAACAGCGATTGGTGCCAGTTAGTTGAATTTACTACAGAAATCTGTTTTGTTACGCATGCAGGAGTACATCAGTGAAAGTGACGAATTTTATTTTCGACAGGGCAAAGCACAAGTACACTATCACTACAAAAGCCAAGACTTTCTTGTCGAGAAAGGTCACAGATGAAATCTCCGTCTTACGACATTAAGTAGATATTAAGACTGAGTATAAATTGAGCAAAATACGCACAAAATTGCGTTTTGAAAAGAAATATTTTACATCCTTGTGAATCTCGCTCTGAAGTTCGGTTTGTGAATAGCAGGCAAACAACTGTGACCGACCTACCGATCAGTGGTTCATCAACTAGACGGTCATTAGTACCTATGATTTTCATTTGCTATTTGGATGGTAACTTATTATCGTTGTTTTAGAAATTCGGCGTCAAAAAGTACAAAAATCTATAAAGTCTCAAAAGGATTTCGAGATCACGTTAAAGTTTAAACGACTTTTTAATAAAAAGTTGTACACATAAAAAAAGGTTTATACGTTTTGTGTCCGGTACCTGAATTTCTAGGCATTACTTCAGGTGGTCGGCTCCCAGTATGAATCGAAATGTACCTATAACATTAGTGCATACTTAGACGAGGCAGCATAGACGAAGTACATATTTAACTTATGAGACACATTTTTCAGTAGTTTTAAATACGACAGCTTAGCTGTTTTCGGTAGTACATTCTCCATCGAGAACAAATATGTGCAAGATTGTTTCTGTCATTATAATTCCAGAATGAAATTCGTGTTCGTAAATTTACTTTTTCATGGTTCAGTGAAACTAAAAGCTGTTACGTGATCAAGTAAACTGTCTCCGATTTCAACGAGTGCATCTTGAAAACAGAACAAGTTTTGAGAAATGCCGCGTAAATAAAATAATAAAGTAAAATAAAATAACGTCATTTTAAAAAGATAAGAATAACGTTTCTTACTTTTTATACTGAAAATTTCATACTTAATATAATAAGACTGAGTTTTTGTCTGTGTGACTAAAATTGCCCATGTGAAATGGAAGTTTTGAACTTCGTGGGCTGGTAGAGCAGGACTTCATCTTGGAGAAAACTGTTTATGATGTTTCCCGGTTAATTGAATATTTTCTGGGCAGATAGTTTCTCTGTTTGGAAGATTTGCTTGGCAAGCATTGAGAAAAGATTTGTTTTAAGCTCTATCTATTTAATAGACTCTAGTAGCTTGAAAATTAAGTTTTCGAAAGAAGTTCGGTTTGAAGTTTCGTAGTAAGATGATAAATTTTGCGAGCATAGTTGAGACCTTTTATTTCGGCTAAGAAACGAACTAAAATGCATAGGTAAAATGGAATTGTATAGTTCCGTATGGCGACTATCGTAATACGGTACTCTAACGAAAGAGTCGTCGGTGAGATAATAACAGCGGCCCATAGATCTACATCTGATGCGAAGTTTGAATTAGACAGGATATCAGTAGCAAGTAACCGCTGCCACGTGACAAAATCATTGACTGATTGAATGCAAACGAATCATTAACGTAGTGTGCTTTTTGCAAGCGCTAGCAAATAGATACAGAGTTGCATTTCACCGTTTGAGCGAAGTAAATGGTTGATAATAGATGAAATATGCCGATGCGAAAGTGGCTAAATGAATTAGATAAAATGGCGAATGATATTATAAAAACGTCCTAACAGAGAAGCAGAGGTTACTAACACAATATAAAGGTTCTGAACTGAATGAAAGAACATGAATGGTCTTGCGTATACGGGTAGAATAAAATTTAAATTTATACTAGAAATCTTCAAGCAGAGGTCAGTTGTTTGTTTAAGTAGGAGGATGCATACATTGCGGTAATGCACTAAGCATAATAGGGAGATTGGATTGGATGAACTGATTGCAGCAGGATACTGAAGTTACCAAAAAATGTTCATGTGAAGGTAACGGAATTACTACTGTAGGATAACCAATTTGAGCTAACTGTCTCTGGAATAGTTGAGTTTTGGCCCAGAATGGGATTCGCGTGAGCGATTTATAGACATAATTGTTTTTAGAGGGTAGTTTACTTTACTCGTTCGAGTTTGAATGTTATTCTTTCGTATGCGTAGTGTGCCAACTAATTAATCGCTAAGGAACTAATTGAAAGAGCTAATTGCAGCGAAACGTCTGAAGCATTACATGCGAGTGAGAATCGGCTTACTTGAATGTAGCCAATCATTGAAATAAATCTAATTACAATAGCTCCAAGACTGCGGGATGAGTAAAACAACGTTGGCTATGCCCAAAAAATAAAATCACTGAATTGAAGGACTGTGACAGGATATCATCGCAAGTCCAACAGGTCTAAGAAAAAATGCCATCGATTCTAAACTAAGCTCATTCAATATTCATCACATTTGTTCATAGTAAGATAGACTGATTCAAAAGCCAACTAGAAAAAAAAAAAAAACAGCTTCATTAAAAGATTATGATGATCACGATGATTATGATGGAATGACCGAAAAAAAAGTAATATGCTAAATATGTCAAGATAACGGTACATAAGATTGCTGATTAACTGACTCAGAAATAGAATAATTATAATCAAATCTGTACGGGATAATGCTTCAGAAGAAAGAATCAATAGTTCTACAACCTGTGAGGTTCCGTAAAACGTCGACCAAATCCATGGTTAATATTAGAACTGGCTCGTGAAATTAACAGCAGAGCCACAAAAGGCGTTAGAGTATCGGTTGTTTGAGATAAGACAACTGCAATGGGACAATTGCTGATGTGCGCCCTAACTGTAGTTCGTGTTTTCCATCATCAAACCAAATGATTTAAAGTTAGCTTCCCTCAGTGTGGGTTTGAGATTTAAAATTTGGCTATAAGTTCTAATTGCTCAAATATTAGAAGAAACAAGCTGCTGGTGGTACCTTGGCTGGATCCAGGGTAAAATTAGATTTCAGTTTTCCGGTTTGGCAGTATAAGCCTGTGATTTACATGGACCAATCTAATTCTGGCCTTACAATAAGCGGGTTATGAGGGTTCAAAATACAAAAGTGGTCATTTTACATGATAAACAAAGTGAAAACCTACCCATCAAGGTTCCCATCTATGTCTATTAACATTTTGATTTTTTTTATAAACACCTAAAAGAAGAAAGCATTTGCATCAGATATTCTTCATGCAGACAGATAATCTCCCTTATGTATTAAAACATTTTACATCAGTAGTAACGAATGAGTTTCTCACTGGACGAAATCGTTTATGTTGCAAAAGCTGTCATTACAAATCGATGTAACTGCTTGAAAATCGCTGAAATTGTTGTAGATGCAATTAGTTTTTAAAGCGGTACGATTCGACCGGTCTAGAGAGATACGAAGACCAGTTTTAAGCCAGAGGGGTCCCGGATTAACTAACAGTTCCACCCGCGACCGTGGAAAATACTTGAACATACTGATACGGCACGACAGCATAAGTCTTGATACTACCATACGGATGGTCTGAACGGCAAACTCGTAACCTGTGAAGATACAAATTAAAAAACGATCAAGAAATAGTAAATCGTCGACATCGTATTGTAGTATTCGCGAACATCAAGAACGCTGGTTCGTAATTTCCAAATATACTGATACTCTAATCGCGTGTCAATTTAAAATTTAAAAAAAAAAAATTAAAAAATAACTTTTTTCTCAATATAGAATTCGCTCTTTCAGCAGTTCATTTGATGACTACTTAAGTGATATCCCCACAGAAATTGTTATTCAATCTAAGGGTAATGTGGGCAACGAATTAATGCTGATGAGCCCTTATGCCTTGGTGTTGTTTGTGCACATAAATGAAGTTTGCCTACTCGATTTTAGAATTCGAATTGCTTGTGGTTTACATTAACAGTTTAGCTCAGATGCACCCCTTTTTTCATTGCTCGTTATCTTGTTTTCCCTATCATATAATGGAGAATATTGAAAGGAGCAGAAGTGCTGTATATGAGAGATGCATGAATCGCGTTACGTTGATGTGCGATAGGTTTCCGTTGATCTATTTCAGCTTTCTAAAAATCAGGTGAACGACATTACGTAAATAGACATTGATCTTATATTGCACTTCATGGCGGCTTGTTTCATTGTGTTATTATGCTATATGATATAACAACGAGATACTAGGTCTACTGGTCTAACAACACGCGGGACCTTTGTATATTGCAATCGCCAAATCATGCCAAAGATTTGCACACCCTGCTCAAAGTAGGTCAACAATTAAACGCTCGCAAGAGTAGCTGAAACTGACGGGCAAGCACAACAAAAGTTACTGCGCATTAGATAATTAACATTAGCAATTCAAGAGTGGCACAAAAGAAACTTCGAGAAAATGACTAATCGCCTAGTACAACACTTTTCGGGCTGGCTACTTTTCCTTACGCCTGTGTCCAGAAGTACCTTTATAGAAGAGAAAAGCCGCTAAGATGCACGGCTCACACGGGCAGGAATAGGGCCTGCTATTCTGAATGAAAAAGACCATAGAGATCATAAGATTTAGGGAGTAAAACAATATCAAAAAACGAGCCAACTTGAAATCCGGAAAAATTTAGGTGTGGGATTAAGTGGGCACTACAGCTACGAAACGCTGGCTAAATCTCGCACTGTTATAAAAAAAAAAACTGCTAGAAACGCGTTTTGGCTTCCGCAAACAAGAGTCACGCAGTAACTCCCTTTTATAAAAATGTTACATACTTAATCGATATATTTTTTCTAAAATAAAACATTAAAATTGATTGAGTAAGTATACAACGGTTTGATTTCCATTATTTAATGTAAATGGAATTAAAATATCACTGCAAGGATAAATAAATAAATATATATTTTTTTTGCAGTACGTTTGAGCTAAAGCTCTTTTATTATTTTGCGTTTAATTTGCTATCCATCGCTTGGTTCCAACTTCTTAACACGTTCGGCAGACAACTATACCAGAAAGGTATATTATATCTCAGTATTTTTAATTTTAACTATATACATATAAAATCCTGACGATGAGGATTCTCATGGTTGTTATGTCCTGTCACAGTTTACTATTGATTTTGCCTCGAATTTATGCTCTAAAAGGTGAAAAAAATTATCTAAAAAAGTCAGAAAGATTGTAAGACATAGAGGACAGCAATTTGAAATTATATAGCTTAAAATATAACTAAACTGTATTAAATTTTGAGAGTACAAGCAATTTCACGGTCGCTAGTCATTATAGGTGCGTGTTTCCTATTTACAAGGGGCAACCTTAATACATTGTTTGTTTTGTCGTGTTTTTAACTCTGATCGTAGTTTCAAGCCTATATATTATAAAACGAACCTAGCTTTCAAATGCGTTCAAGGTCTTCATTGAAGGGAATAATATCGCTAGTTGCTAACACGTCATGGGAGGGGGGCGAAGGTGGTTTCAACTACGAAAAAATTAAATTTTTATGCATTTACTACTCTACTTGCTGTGCCAACAGAGCTGTTAATTAAATTTAGATACTATGCATTTCAACTACACTGAGCTGATGAAATAATAAATGTGAAATCACCAACCTAGACAGTTTCTAGGACCGAATCGAAAAGGAAGCTATAGTGTGCGGCCTGAAATGAATCGGTCGGGGTTGAACCTAAACAGTACAGAGAAATATTTAGCTTAGTGAGTATACATTCAACAAACTGTTAATAAAATTATTAAACAAGTTGTACAGTATTAAAAACAAAAATCAGGATACATGTACATGTGAAATTTGCGTCATAAAATAGTAAGTACATTCACTTTTAAACTGTGACTTAACATATATATTAGTTATCTATGCAAAAACACCATTACGGTATAGCGTATCATTTAGATGTATCCGCCGCTCAAGGTAGTCTATATTCCTATATCGTTAATTATAGTACTGATGTATTCGGTGCGCCGACTTCAGCGCTATGTGTTAGTATTGAAAACAATCTCTGCGGAACCGAGAGACTTATCTTAAATTTGCAACAGCTATCATGCGCCAAACGACTGACTTTGTGTGATTAATTGTGAAACGGCAGTATGATGCAATGACGGGAATGCAGTCATTATCGTCACAAATTAGTCCGTTCTTAGTGTGGGCGCGGCCTATGAACGGGGGCTGTTTATATGCTGGATGTTGAATATAATGTACGAATCCGTTTGGAGGTTTTATGAGCCAGCAGTTCTTTATTACATTACGTGAAAATATGCAATAGCACCTTTTGTTGCTTTTGGAAGGCCAAAATAGCATGTTTCAGTTAATTTGACATATGATTTCCCTTAGTTATGCATTTATATGTGAGCGGTACGGATATGTGAGCCCATGTTGGCCCAACAATGAGCAGGTGACGTTAATTTGCTTCTTATTGTTTTGTTTAACGTAGGCGAAGTAGGCCATGGCAATCTACTCGGTAGCTAGCTGATCTACGTTTTCTGACACCACAAGTACATTAAGAATCTCGTTAAAAAGACAAAGATTTTAAAGAGGGTTCAAGCCAGGGGTCAGTTACGTCATGGGCAAAAAAATAACCTGTACCCAGCTGTGTGTATGCCCTTGTGTCCCGTTTTAGTGCATGCCGTTCGTGTGTTTTTAAAATCAACAGAAACGAGCAACTGTAGACTTTGGTACAAAGATTACCTTTAAACCTAAAGTAATTACTCTCAAGACAAACTTTGCGGAACGGAGTGTTGAATAAGAATTATATAGGAGACATATATTTGGTGAAGAACATAATCAACGTTTTAACAATTGTTTTCGCACCTCGTCAATCGTAGACGGATGTTTCATAAATTTAGATAACATAATGGTTTTATACAAGCGAATACATAATCACTATGTTTTACCACAAAACATTGATCAATTGTGTTTAAAAATATGGGGCATGGTTATGGACGCTTATATCAAAAGATCCCGAGTCAAAATCAGTAGCTTCATTCTCAAACCGATTTTTTTTTATTTGAAAACTGCCTGCTTTTGCCCATATTCGTCAGACACTTTTAAGCGTATTGTTCGCGGTTTTGATATCTGGATGACAGCGGATCACCAAACCGTCTGCGTACTTTATTTAATTACAAGAATTATTTACTTTAGTTAAATATTGAGGCGGAAAGGGTCAATGCAACTTGAAATTATCAATTTTTACGCGAAACAACAAGTCGACTGCTAGATATTGTAAAGCTGAAAAATATATGTTTAAGTGACACAGTTGCTTAGGATCTAATGTAACACTCGATCAAAGCATTCCTTTGATCGAAAGAAACACAGCAGTATGGTCTTTATGTACTCTAAATAGCCCAAGTCATTTTCAACATGTGCGTATCAGCAAAGCAATCGGCGATGCATCCATGCTGACCGAGACCGAAACGTTGACGTTTGTACGACATGTAAAGCACCACATTTTTTTTTCTGCACTTGCATACTGGATGGTAGTTCCTTAGATTTACTTTCCAACATTTTTTGAATACCGGTCTAGCTATGCTTCAGCAAAGAAAGTCTCATCAACTCAAGAGGCGAAAATTACATTAAAATATGCAGCAAAAAAAAAAGCAAAATTCTCGTAAATTGTAAGTGGAATATTATCGGATGCAAAAGTTGCCTTTGCTATAAATTGAGACAGTTTTTCGTTGAATATGACATAACTGTATGTGTCTACCATTATTTACCTTAGTTATTTTCCGTCAAAAATCACTGTACTTACGTTTCAGATTCGGCCCAAAGATCTTCTTTATAGTGTGACTTTTTAATTTAGGACATCACTATAAGACCAGCTGGAATGCGAATCTTTTTTTGAAGATCGACAAATTCGAATCTGAAAGCTTCCCACAAAAGCACTTTATTAATAATAAATTAGTTTAATATTAAAAAAAAAAACTGTATTTAAAAAAAATAAAAAGTTGGTAAAAAAAGAGATTTAAAAATTATGTTTATCATCAAAGCTAAAACAAAAGTATATACCACATTGTCAATCATCGTTAGTGATTATATTTGAGCATCCTGAGTATCGCTGAACATTCGCTTGTTTTAAAATAACCGTATCTTTTAAAAAAGATTATTTAAAAATATATATAAAATAATCAAATTCTCTCAAAGAGAATATTCGTATTTCGATTCTTTGAAAACATCATGCAACTTTTATAAATGAAAGTGGTTTGCATAAGATCATTATAATTAAACTAACATGTAAACTGGTGGATACATTCGGAGGGTCTCCTTAATTACCGCGTTCAAATATTTGCAGCCTTCCAGCCTTTTCGGGTCATGCGAGACGTCGCTGTTTGAGCTGGCTTCTTGTAGCTCTTTACGAAGGCTCGAGTGGTATATATAGTGGGAATCGGAATGAGTCTGGAAAAATGGGAAAATTTTAACAAAACAGCAAAACAACTAAGAAGTTCAGATTCGAGCAGTTTGGTGCAATCCAAGGATTTATCTGAACTTGAAAATCAGAAGCAATTAAGTCTGGTTACAGTTTAAATCAGATTTGCTTGGATACAACCCATGTTAGTCAATAACTGAAAAAGGGCAACAGACAGCAAGACTACGAGTTAACAAGATTACGGCGCCAGCAGAAGTAGAACAGTTTAATAACAGCGAAACATTTTTCGATTTTACATACAAGCTACAGTTTGCTTAAGCTGAATGCCTCTCACAAATAAACGGCCTTTTTGAAACGAGTGTAAGTTATTCAAGTTATGAATTGTCACTACACATAAACATACAATCACCTAGAACCGTCAACATCAAAATGCAACTTACTGGTCAAGCACATTATGTAAAATACTACAATCATCAAACATGGCGAAATGATAATATATGTATTCATTTGCTTCTATACTTATCTTATTCTAGCGTTTGATGCTTTCGAGACAATCACCATGCAGTTCTTTTCGCACACAGGTCTTTTCCTGTGATTCCTTACCCAAGGGCGAATTAAGCTTCCGATTCGTTTCACAAACGAGGCCAAGGCCAACAATGAAACTTTTAAAAGCGATAGTAAGTTACATAATTTTTATACATAATTATGTACTATATCAATATATAGCTTCAACAACAACTCAATTTGTATACATACCCATTCTTATAGTTGATAAGTACGTGCATAAAGCGATTTTTCGTTTAGATATATATATATATATATATATATATATATATATATATATATATATATGTATATATATCTAAACGAACATTACCTCGAGCTGTTTAGCGTGAAATCTAACAAACTTTTTCCCTTAACTTTTGTGCGTTTCTTTCTACCGTTTACATTTTGTCTGGGTTCGTGTTTTATCCCATTGACCGACACTATCTTCTTCATTACCTCCTCGTTGAAAAGTATACAATAGAGAAAATTATTTTATATGAAACGGAAATTTTAATGTGTGACAAAGTTTGCAGAAATTTACATCGTGGTTTTATATGCAGGGTGATGGAAAAGTAGATTTATAGGGACAGATTTACATCTAGAATAAGGGAAAAAGCAGACTTAAATTGTAAAAGCACGTTTTAAATTAAAACAGAAAATGCGGCTGAAGAAAATATGGAGAAGCTAGGGTCTTTTGTACATAGCCTTTTGGAGGCTCTCACTGGTGATATCCTTCCACCTTATCTGAATGAAACTTCGCCACTTCCTGCAGTTGAGATCGTTTACATACGAGGTTGCCCGCATAACCACTTTTTATTTAAAACTGGCTTTTGGTTTATTTCCCAAGCCAGCGATCTTTTGGAACTAACCATGTCTACAGCTACTCCAGCTATTGATCGAGAAGCGCACAGGAGTGAAGCTCTAAATCGGAGTGCTCTAGGAGAAAAACGACCTTTGATCAGCAAAAACAAATCGCTTTTTATCAACGACGGTTTATACGAAATTTTGTGTAGATTGTGAGTCCTTTACATGCTTTGATCAGTAGCGACTTCTTTGGGAGTCCGATAATCAGTTCCAAGATCCAAGATACCGAATTAGTTAAGCCTAAGGCAATGAATAAGCTGGTCCTGTGTCGTTTCTTGTACCATATGGAAACAAGGTTACAAGGAAACAAGGGTAGCCGGGCCGCAGTGAGGTTGATGTTGGTATAAGTTGGATGAGGGCGCAGGCAAGTATTTTCTCTGAGAGGAAGCGGTTGCCAGTGAAGTAGGCTGTTGGGAAACCGAAGTTTTAATTTTAAAAACATTTTTATTTACAGAAAGAAAACAAAGCGTGTGACACACGAAAAGCCATTATGAAGCACACTGTATAGAATATAGCATGGGAGAATACCGGTATGATGTGTTCATTGGACCTCTTACATTGTTTGCATACATAGCTATTGTTGGTAACAGATTTCCGCGGAATGGTTTTACGCACTACGGTACATTTACTATTTATTTTATTGTATTTGATTATTAGCTTTGACGCTTTTGACTTAGGTTGCATGAGATGATTCCCACATCGGAACCAGTCAAAAAATATTAAAAAATTTTGCAAATTATGGTTCTATACAAATGAATATATGCATTATTATTATGCTTTGTAGAAATATCTGACAATTGTGTTTAAAAAGATTCTGGACGTATTTGCATGGGCATTACCTTAGAGTAGTGCCCGACAGCACTGCATTGAGATTTTCATTGAAATCGTCTAATAAAAAGGGCATTGCAAAAAATGCACTCGCGACTTCACGCAGATGCCTTGTCGTGGCTGACCGTGTTGCTGGTAAGGTAGAGCGATCCCAAGCCTTTTCAATTTTAACGCGAATACCTTTGTCTAGTGCCCTTCCTGAAACGTCCTTTTGAGGGTCTAGATTTGATGAGCCGTCAAGAAGCTCGCGAGCAAGACTTTCTATGTTTTAGTGATGGTCGATTATTGTAATAGATTTATCTGATTCATGATGGTTCAGCAGCCAACATCTTGTCGCAGACAGTAACTAGCTACCTCACACCAGAACGTATTTCTGATCCACTGGAATAGTTGCTGGACACCAAAAATGTAACGGCTTGGGCGAGGATGTAGTTCGGCCGGTTGCAGATAGGCCAGGCTTTCCAGAAATGAAGAGCCGCAGCTTGCTACGAGATGCGCTGCACGGAGTGACCCATTCCTTCAACGTTTCTAGCATCTCCATTTTAGGCTAAACTCCATATTAGTTGCTTTCTTGTTATTGGCTAGTACCCCAAAGGACTTCCCATAAATGGGACGCAAGACTTGCACATACTACGGAGTTGCACCAGCGGGAACACCGCCATGTCCGAGATCGGCAGCAGGAAAGCGAAAGCATGCATTGAGTTCGGCATTGTTGGCAAACTGAAGCAAGGCTTTCATTTTTTAAACCTGTTAGTAAAACTATACCGGGGGTCTCAATGCGAAAATAGAGCGGCCAGAGACAGAAAGCGAGAGCAACAAGGATGGAATATTTCGAGGAGCGAAAAACTGTCGTATTCCCTTTTTTCTTCTTTTTGATATAAGACCGTCAACTATAAAAACTGACGGGCTGTTGCTGACGAGGCTGAGAGGGTCACCGGCGTTCTAAGCCGAGCAATAAGAAGTTTAGAAAACCGCGTTAGGGCTGCGAAAGGGCAAGCCATGCCGGACTGATGCGTTCGCGTATCCTGAATAAGCCATCACTTTAAGAGGACAGATTACGTCACACTGGGTCCGAAATATGTGAAATGCAGTTGACCACAGAGTCAGCCACAGCCAAGGCAAATGAAACTGAACGATACAGAAGGTTACATGAGCAAGCCCTATTAATCAGAGAACTACTTGCAGATAGCTGCGCTTTGTTTTGCGGGCCCACACGTCCGGTTATGTTCTTATAAGTTCAATAGTTTTAGACATGACACCTGGCCCACAAAAACCAACATAAAAATCTATGCCTTCAAAGTATGGATTTTCATCAATATACAAGGGTATATATCAGTGTATAAAACACGTATCGAACCCGTCGCCTAATGCGTATTACTTTTTTAGCAGAATAATCCCGATGGTACCCTCACGGTAACAATTTCCAGAAGAGAATATGGCAGCATTCGATGAAGCCGCATTATTTGAAGCATCTAATTGCACCGCGCAAGTAAACGACACACTGTATTGCCTACCTACTTACGAAGGCGTTATTATTTGCGTTTATTATTATATTATATTATAAGGCGTTATTAACAGCGATCTAAGTCGCGTGAGACGAACGCGCTCGTAGAGTTCACTCGATGATACGGAGGAAAAATTGTACAACTAAACCTGGACGTTTTCCTAACGCCAAATGAAAATATCTAGAGACGGCACGTACAGCAACCGCCATTTTATGTTGGGATTTGCTATACATTAATTCTATAGCAGCTGTTGTTGAATCAAAAATTGTTAGAATTAGATGGTCACGTGTGTAAAATGTGTAGAAATGTGTGCGTCAAGAAATGTAGTAATGTTGGATGTATATTCAGGTTGGCAGAGTTCAATCAGTTCGCATGATACACATATCTACTTCATTCACATTTTCACTCTTTTCGTGTAGTTAACATAACCCATTGTAGTAATAATGGACGCACTATCTGTTAAATATTTTTTTAGCGATTCTAAAGCGGTTACTGCATACATACTACAATAACATATTTTGATGTAACAACTAATAAATTTATCATATTTGAATGAACGTGTAAGTATGATAAAAAAAAAAGATGCAGTTGTATAGTACAAACAAAGATGCTGTGATGTCTGATTACTCCTGTAAGACTCAGGGTAGGCTCCATTTGATCCTGGACAGAGTGTAATAACTGATTGTTACGGGTTATGGGTACGTCAAGCCGAGTGCAGAGCTACAGATGACGTCGAGTGAGAAAGTATTAGGCAACGCCGAGCTGTCGAATTCCCGTTGAGCATCACTGCATAGGTGCCTCACGTTGGTAATGAACTCATGTAGGCATGACTGAATTACTGGAAATAGCTGTCGGTAAAATAAAGAGTGTGTTATTTATGTTATATATAGAAACAGAATAATATATAATATTCAGGATGTATCTAAACAGTTTGACAACGTCCAAAATATATACACATACGATATATACGTACATTGTATTAATATAATCTATATCAAATGTAACAAATTAATCTATGAGTAAATATACGTCTCTCTGCGGCTATATAAAGACGGAGCAAATCGCTGCGAAGCGCTTGTTGCTACGAGTTAATTTTGATGGCAGCAATGGAATAGGTGGCGATATCGCCGAAGTGTTCGAAGAGTTGGTAGCATTATATATGCGGGGAGGCGTAGTCGAAAGCATTTTAGCTTGCACAAGGCTGCAATGTGTGCTGGTTTGCGAGAGAGAATTAAGAAAGTAAAGCGCTTTCTGCTCCGTTGCTCAGGGATCTCCGAATCCCTATATCCGAAACTATTCTTGTCACAAGCCTCTTTTCTGTGCTAATCTGAAAGCAGTTCCTATAGACCATGATGGAGCAGTCTAGAAAGTCCATTTCGTAATACGCATGATACCCACTCCAATAGTAGCAACTTAAGATCTGACAATGTAGTATCATCTTAACGACTGTAGCAAGAATTTTTGTGGCCTGTTTTTGCGCCCCACGCCGACGACATACCAAACTACCGAACTGAATATATGTAGATCTTTCCTGTTAGAGTCTGTATCTGTATAGACTTGGACGGACCTTAATTACTCCTCTTGGCCCTACCCCTAAAAATATTAGTAATGGTACTAAACTATAATACGTTTGAAAGTTAACGTCATCTCACAAAACGTGTTATACATTTCAATTATAAAAAATACGAACAACTGATCGATAATAACACATTTACTTATGTTGGTAATTTGAAAAGTTTCAAAATATGCATCAAGTTATTCGGTAAGCACCGACCACAACCCGAGCGCCGTTTATCTAACATATCTACTATAGCTAATGAAATTCACTGGATCTATTATTGACAATTCACTACAGATCCCACGTTTCCTTTCCAAAATGCACATTTGACAATGTTCTCAAATGCCATGCGGAGAATGCGATATTCACTATTAACCTATAATGATTTTTCCAAATGACACAAAAAAGCTCGATGGTCTGCGTAGCAGACAAATGCACGGGGCATAGTTTGACTCACACTGACGTCTAACCATTTATGAGCTGAATTTTACTTGGACTTGTCGAATGTCAAAACATACAAAATAAAAAAAAAATTGTAGTTCGTGAGCATATTAAATTATTCGGAAACATATTCGCATTCACACGCTAGACCGGTTCACATAAGGAACACAACACAGAAATGCTGAATGCATTTCTTATGGATGCTTCTTATAGAATTTTTCTTCCAGCCACGTTATGAGTCGTTGATCTATTTTGAAAATAAGGTCACGAATGTGATTCTCCAGTAAGGGAGAAGGTGAAAATTCATAATCACAAGATGAGAAAATAAACAGATGTAAAACACTTTCCATTCTAAGTGCAAAAGGGCAACTTTGGCAATGTTTGCCATGCGTGACTCCGTGTTGTTATGGAGCAGGATAACTTGAACTCGCTTCTTTTCTCGATCTTTTTCTTGAATAGCCCGAGTGACTGAACATAATAGGCTAAATAAATGTGCCGCTCAACTGCCTGGCACGTAGGAAGCAATTCCTAATAAATCAGGCTATTGCAATTCCAGCGCACGCAAAGCATAATATTTTCTGGACGAACATCTAGGTAAAAACTGAGCTCTGACTTTTTTTAAAGCTACTTCTCATCATTGGTCACAATTCCGCGCAAAAATTAACAAATATAGCCGGATGACGTTTGCCACCATGCAACGTTAAATGCTAATTTCTTGTTGGATTTAGAAAATTCATGAAGTCATTTCTATCGAAATCCAAGTGGGTTATCGACGGTCTTATAGCTGCAGTTTATCTTTTCGCTCATTTTCTGAGTTTCGTGTTACCCGCATGCTTTTAGAGGTGCTTTTATGGCACTCGGACGATTGGCCAGAGCAAGTGGATCTTCTCAATTCTGAATACTTGAGCAATTCTTATACCCTTATATATATGTGAGGCAAATTTCTTGGGCTATTTCAACAGACTCCTGGCTTCGACGAAATCTTCAAGTTTTGTCGAGCATTCATAACATAATACCCTTACAGCTGTAGTGGGCAGTCACGGCGCTTCCCGACAGTATATCAGAACAAACTGACAAGTAAAGGGAACTGGAAAGGAATGATTTCGAACAAGAAACAGGAAATCTTATTGCCTCTCTATGTGTCCACATGCGCACAGATTGTTTCTTGCAATGCGCTTACGATCGATTTTAAAACGAGTAGCATATCATTGTGATAAAACACAAGCTAGTATAATAACACTTAACGCCAAGTTAACAGTACAATTCCAAAACATCTGACTTTGCAAGACACCATAAAGTCTCATTAATTCAAAGAATTTACAAAATGGCTACCATATAATACCATAAAGTGTTACAATTACAAGTAAGGTTCAATTAAAAGTATAAAGTGGGACTAACAATAGCAAACTGATTTAATATTTCTGGAATGGAGAACAAGAGTAGGCTTTTGTACTTATTTTCATTCTTACAATAACACAATAGATAGGCTTTAATTCGCATTATGCACGGAAAATAATATCAACCAAATATCCTCCCAATCACTGATCGCATGACTCGATCCATCTACTTTTGAATCTCGACTCTGCGTTATCTGAAGTGCATTAAGCACTTTACGAGAACATTGTTTTAGGTCGTAGATGGATTTTGGTGCCGTTCGATACGCTTTATCTTTTACATAGCGCCAGAAAGGAATCGATAAAGGCCAAGTCTCCATGCAATGAAATCAGCCGGCCTGAGACCATGGTTCCAATAAGACCACATCTTGATAGAACCGAAAATCAGTTGCATTCAATTCGGTCCACCGAAAAATCAGCAACAGACAATCGTTATCGTTCTAGCTTTACGTGTAAGTGAGGTAGTTTCTTTGAATTTTGTACACTTTCTTTGAATGTAACACTTGCTCAGTATCATCATAACGGATTTTCCATTTCAATGGTAAGTCTTTACAAAAAGACAACGCTGCTCTACCCTATATTGCTCCATTAAAGTGAACTATTATTCTTATCGCACGACAGCTTTTTCTTGGTGACAGACACAAAGAAGGGAAACGAAACTTCTTAGTTAATCGTAAAGTGTAAAAGTTGTTCCGCTCGTGACATGTTTAATCTCAAGATATACCGTTAGCTGATTGCCCACGGATTGAATCTGTTGCAATGTCGTTGTCGGATATAGTTCTACCATCGACGAACATCTCAAGGCATTTAGCCGAATTCTAGTAGGCGTCAATCGACTTCTGGATCTTCTATCTGGGAGTTTTTTTTTTACAAATGCTTACCATAAAGCATTTGCATAAATATACTGAATGCAGACATAGACAGTTAATACGTTTCGATCGACGGGAGGAGAGAGGTTATGTTTTTAATTTTTTTTCTGTTTCAGCTTTGTCGATAGGTCGTTCCTTATTTCAACGTAGCTGGAGTGGAAAAACTCCAATCTGCCTAAAGGGATTAACCGTTCGATACGGACAACTACAGGAGGGTTGGAGTTAGTTTGTCTGTATAAGGATTTATCATTCTGAAGTATACTGACGTTGTCAGATAACAGGAGTGAGGACCTAAATATCTGACGAGTGTAACAGACCATCTGGTTTTGTTGTATTGAATTGCCAGTCTCTCATGATGGGGCACACTTATTACGGATGCCGAACAAACCGTTCTGCGGGACGGGTGTAATTGATCAGTTATACCTGCGGCGGCTGCAATCACAAAAAAAGATCCTTCGTAACCTTTTTAAACTTTACACACAATGTAACAGAATATGTTTTTCCATTTCCATCTCCTCCACTGACAAAAAGCAGTCGGGCACTTATTATGATCTTCCCAAGAATTGCATGTTGCTCTTCACTAGTGTTCATGTTCTTTACCCAACGTCAATATTGCAGGACTATATTTTGACACTTTGGAGTTGGATATTAGAGCTCTTTTGAGTAAGCAAGACTGAAGTCACTGTACAGTTTGCCAATTATTTTTAGTAAACGTTGAATATGGGAAAAGCTCATTTGATGAGATAGACGCGCAGAGCTTCACGGCAGATAAAATCTTTATATAAAACTGATCTTTTAACACGTTCCAAAGTCAACAAGTCACATCAAAATTATGAGTGTGTATTTAATACAAATATCTACAGACTTTGTGGGCAGTTGGCCAATAATCACTGCTTGTTCCATTGCTCCTACCAAGTCTGTGCAGTTTTCCAATATTTTAAACGCTAATCCGGTCTGTTCATAACCATTTTTCTTATAATCTTCAACGATGCATATTTCGTTCATTGATTGTGTTCAAACATGCAGCAGAAGTAGCCAAAGATTGTAACGTTTTGGTTTCCGAGCGTAACTTGATTTTCCACTTTTTAAGAATTTAACTCCATCGACAATGTTTAGGAATACCTACTAAATGGAGTGCGGCTGCAAACATGCTGGCTTTATTTTAGCTAAAGGAAAAATTGAGAGTATTTTTTTTCATTTTCTTGCGATACCTGAGGATGTATTTTTGCAAATGTCGATCCATGTATAGCTAACTCGTTTGCTTCACACAAAGCTTCCAAAGTCAGATGCACCTCCAACATATATATGGAAGGTCTAATAATACGTTGAAAAATTAATTAAACTCTATTGTAAAAAACCTATGTCATATGATTTTTCTCTTTTGTATATAAATCTTTTGATAATATTATATTTACACTATATACTGGAGAGTAAAACACAAACGAAAAATCTGCAAACGGCAAAGTGCGACAAAAAAAGGGGAATTTTTTAAATATTGCAATGAAGTTTTTATGCTTTGGAAGTTATAAAATATAAGTTAATTATATGCTTTTTCAAATATACACTGCTATATCAATATATGTAGACAAAAAACAATTGCACACGAAAAATCTCTTTTAGCTACCATAGCTAATAAACCATAGGGATGTGCGACATCTTAAAAATACCATAAATTAAAAAATATTCAAAAATCCAAAAAACACAAAATAACATTATATATATATATATATATATATTAACGTTATTTTCAACTTGAATTGTATTGGATTATAATGATAATAACTAATCCGATATTATGAACAACTTTTTCCTATTTTCTTAAATCAATATAAATATATTTATTTGGTTGTAAATTAACTATAACCTAAATTAACGGATAACTTATATCACTTACCTATATGTAGGTACACTTTTTGAAGTCTTCGACGAGTCATGCTGAAGAATAGCTGGATCCGAGACCACTAGCACAGGATTTTTATCGTAAAACCATCCTACTTAGAACAAGTAAATAAATGCGTGTACCGTCATTTACTAGGCTTTACAAAGAGGGAGCTCAAAGGAATACTCAACACTGTAAGAGACAAACAAAAAATTAAACAGTTGGAGGGTGTATATATTCAGATTAAGAATTTTATGATTTGACTTAAAGGCGTTGCGGTCAAAAATAAACGATCAACATATTCGTTGTGAAGCTTCAGAGAACCACATGTAATAAAATAATAACGATCCAGCTGGGCCAATTCTTAACCCGCTTTCAAACAAATTGCCAAAACGATTTCACCTACGGGCAATATACCGTTGCCCTGGACACCAGAAAGTTCTGTTTCGAAAACCGTACCTAAGCGGAAAAGCGTGTCACAAAGATGAAAAATTTTTCTATTTTCCCAAATTCGCCCAAAACAGTGCAGCTGACTAGCTTTGTCTCGCTTTTCTTCAAAAAAAATCATTATTATAGTTAGGTCGGATTTAACGATACTTTTTTACTTGTCACTCAAATTTGCGAATAATTCCACAGGACATTTAGAAATAGAAAAGCTGTGGTAATTGCTGAAAAATGTAAACATCAAATACTACTAAACTTCCTTCAAAAGGTATCCATATAGTGGGTCAAGCTTCGTCTGGAGACGGAGGGTCCTTAGATGTTAAAAAGCCGTTTAAGAATGACGACGATGGCTTTCCAACGATCACCACTTATCCATATTCTGCAGCGAATAACAAAGTTAGGCATACAAAGAAGTTCTTATTCTTCTGGAGAGGAAAAGTATACATATTGGGAGGAAGAAGAGGTTGTTTGAGATGCTTAGAACACAACCATACACTAAGCAACTGTTAAAGCTTGCAAAACAGTTGATTACAATGTAAGGAAAGACGTTTTTTGAAAAACTCTTCGAGATTAAAAAATCGTTATTAAAAAATAAAAGTCGAAAAGGTATCTCAGAAATTCTCTACGTACCAACATCTATAGAGTTATGAAAGGTCACTGAGCACACGTGGGACACGTAAGTTGGTGTTAAAAGTGCAACATTTCTGGAACAGGAAATCACAAAACTCTCTAAAGTCACAGAGAAGCTAAATGGAACGTACTACATCAGTGTTAACATTTTATGCGGACAGGAAAAGATTTAAGAGACCGCCGCAATTCAAGCAACTTAAGCTTCTTCGGATGTGAAGCTTGACGCAAAGATCGAATATTCGTGAATCCTAGTTAACATGCTTTGATTATTCCAATTATGATATTCCCGATCACACAACAATTCCATTACATTTTCGTTCTAATTATAGTTCCTATTAACAGGCTATAGCAGGAGATGGAGTACTTTGACCTAACACAGAAGACTAATGGAGTTCAGGGTTCTATGCAAATCATTTCATATTCCTATATAGACTCACTTGGAGTCTTTATCACGGTGAGTTACCCATTTCGAGACTCAAAAATGTTGAACTGCAATCAGTAAATATGGTGAATTTTCAATGACAATGCTCCAGTTTCAAACCAGGATATTTTATCGCTGATGAAAACAACCAAGTCGTTTGCTCAATTACGGCACCTTTCTGGTGGCTCTAAAATGAATGAAAAACGATGAAGAATGACTGTAAACAAAAACTACTGTTGACAAGAAAGTGTCTAGAACCTCAGTGAGGCTTTTTTTTTATATATTAAAATTTTATAGATTAAAAGAGTGCACAGGTTGCAGGCAGTATTAAAGTCAGCCTGCAACAACCTCACTTCGAAGAAATATGTTCTCCTTCAGTTTGATCTTCCTTTCTGCCCTATAGATCGATACCAACCTAAAATGAAATTTTTACATCACATATAATATCCATAAGTTTCATAAAAAAATGTTAGACACTATTTGGTTGTGTGAACTCAATGAATTTCAGTGATGTTAATCCATTTGGCCCCGTTAGAGGCTAACAGACGATTAAAAAAGCTAAGTAACAAAAGCGATTAACGCTTGCTTCATTAATTGGCTGACGCATCAAAAACTTAAACGAAAATTTCCTTCGATATTCTTTGCTCGCCCCAATGGTTTACTAGTGAATATCTATGGCAATAAGACTTTATGAGCGATACTGCCAACCTGCGATATGATATTTTAGAAATGAGCTTGCTAAACTGGACAAAGAGCAAAGAAACGTGAAAGCGGGAAAGGGACCTGAAGCTTACTAAAGGTGCAGAGGCGAATTGTACAGATCTACATGGAAAATGACAGATATAACCTAAGGCGTCAAATCCTTGAGAAAGAAAAGAGGAATATCTTCCAAAAGTGAGAAAATGCGATTAATGCCAGTTGGAGAAACACATGTGGATGATCATGTATGGTACTCCATGGTTCTCAAAGCAGTGTCCTAAAGATTTTGGGAGCTAATACTTCTGCTGAAAGTCTGTCAAAAGAAAAGCTTTTATTTTTAAGGATGGATTTGCGCTATCGCCGTATGAACGACATCTCTTACTCTGTAAGTCTTTACATCACTAGAGATATATATGTAATCACGGATCCTTAGAATATCATTAGATCAAGACTTGGAGGGACATGTTCCGTCTTGAATTGATAGTGAGGATAACCGCAATGGACACTTCAATACGTCGTCAGACATAATCGAAGTTCACGCATCTGTGGTAGTTATAGAAGAAGTTGGTGACCAATTTTCGTAGCCAAAGGCGTTTCAGCTGCTTCGGTTACTGTTTTGAGCGCATAGTCTTTCAGAAGCTGACGACATCCGATAGAGTGGTTATAATCAATACTCTAAAAAGTTTCGTAATAAGAGATCAGCATAAAAAGGAAGGCTGACGTGGCAAGGGTTTTGTATGCATACAAGAAAAAGCCAATAGACTAGAGTCTCGAAATCTAGCTGATAACCTGGAGGTACTTTGTATCGATTCTAGGATAATCTCTTGTATCAAAAAAGACTGCTGCATTAGAGTATCATAAAAAGAATTGCTTGAAAGCTATAAGTGTTACATCAGACAACTCATAATCACATTGTTAGCCCTTCTAATGCACTTATATCATCACAGTAGCAATTCGAATAAGTTCCTCCTTCCGCTCCTGTCTTTAACAATAATTTTTCTGAGATGTCAAGCTTCGGCACAAAGGAGTCGGTCAGTTGGTCACTAAAATTCTCTTCTAAGCAACCCGGGCAACTCGCAATTAGCAGACCGTTTTGTCTATTATCGTTAGAACTACTTCAAAGGGTCTGCTCTACAAGTTGATAATCCCCTACTTTCTACGTTACAAAATAAATAGTTCAACGTACAATTGTTCACAGCGGAGCATCATATCGCTTCGAATCTGATTTAATATATAAAGGCCTTTGTTTCTTACTGTTAACTAGGCTTAGGCCGAACGATTGGCTATTAGGCAACACTTATGCATGCGCAAGTTAAATGCTCAAAGGCATATACAGTAATTAAATCCTTTATTAAGTTCTTATTCTAGTTTAAATGTAAATAAAGTATAAATGCAATTAATATTTCTGCTCATGTAAGGATTAAAAAGTGTTTGATTGCATAAAGTGACAGAGCGAATTGCACTGAAAATAAGCAGACATTTCGCTTTTACATTTGAAGCATAAACTGATAAATCTATTGCCCTAAGTTTTTGAGGCAGGGAATGTACGCGACTCATTCATCAGTAAAGTAGTTAAATTAATTGAAAATTAATTTGAAATTTACTAGCAACAGTAAAGGCTTTTAGTTTCGCGGAATAAAACTACCTAGAAATAGATTAGATACTTATATTGGGGTCCCGATGGCAGAAGACCTACTTAAAGGGCCAACGTGTTCTGCTAATATCTGGTGGACACATTAAAGATGAAATACACTCACCTAAGAGCCAAATTTACGGTGCTAATCATTAATGGCCCAAAGGCTGTTTTTAAGATATACCGCGCGAAGATTCCCGAAAAGAATGTTCGGCTTGAGTCCGGGAGTTCCGAGTCGTTGGAAGAACCTAAAATGTTTTCGCTAAAACGACATCTGAAATGGCACAGAATTAACGTGACTTACGCATTTCTTTAGTGTAGTCGCGACACTTAATTGTTGATACTGCTTAAATGTGCAGATACATGATCCATATTTGAAGACTCAATAAAAAATAATGATGGTAGTCATTATAAGTATATATACAGTTTCGAATAAAATGCAATCATTTCATCTTTTTGCTTCTTTAAAAGATAAAATACAGTGGGTTAACAACTTGCACGGCGTTAGTTGAATCGGAAATCTGTTTTCAATGTAACGTATACGTGTCGTTAATGTTTACTTAACTTAAAATAGAAATAAACTGATTGAAATTTGGCGAGCCACCAACTGCTTTACTCTCGACTGTTGTTTACAAGAGACGCTTGGAACGGGCTCTCAAAAGAGATTTGATAAAACACCCTAATAGCTATATTAAAAACAACGATTTTAACCTTAAAGAGCATCAGCACGTCGTATTAGCATACGTGACATTAGCAAAAAAATGGGTTGTACGAAGTAATTTAGTAGAAATTGAAACATGATATACTCTAGATACAGTTTTCACAGTGACTACCTCCGCAAAGCTCTGGAGCGAATAGGCGTCTTCATAGACAAGACGAAGTAAATCTATGTCGCCCACCAGAGGAGAATAAGGAAAAAAAATAGCGTTGTAAAAAAAGTTCTCATATTCTTAAAATGTGTGCCCGTATTGTTCTAATTTTATTAAAGAGGGCGATGCGGTACCCTCAAAACAGTTGTTAAAAAGAGATTACGTATGGTAGTGCGAATTGCAGAGCACCGCTGTAGGGAAGCTTCCAGAGCGCTGACTTTACTGTTTAAGCGATAGAAGCTAGTATATCTGAATAACATAAAAAGAGCTCCTTTTATGACCCATGTGGTTGGTTATTTCAGGTTTTTCTGTCCGCTAGGCAATTTTTGACAACCTATGATGTCATAGTTTAGGTCAAAGTAAGTAATTGGATGGGCAATCTTTAAATGTGACAGTTTGAAACAATATGCTGAACTGTGCACTTAGTACTATTTAAGGAGACGTATGTTTAAATTAATTCAATGAGGTACCTATATTAGTGAAAAGACACCACTGATTTTTTTGGGAAAATATAGCATTTTTTTCTTAAGCCTCGTATATCTAAAGAGACTTCTGACGACGGCTTTTAGGCAACGTATTCTAATCTCAATTTAAAGTGAAAAAGACCAGTGTTGGTGATTTCAGGCTTGTGTCGCAATGATCTATAGCTTGTACCGCCTTTGAAAAAATTTAGTAACTCATATCTCTCTATCTATAAAAAAAATATCTACTCACTAGCTACGAAATACGCAATGACTACGTGTCCTTCTGCCGCTATAACGAGAGACCTGAATATACAAATTGGCAACGAATACGTAGGGCTACTGACCAAATCTGCAAGTAGCTTAGTAAAGTGTATTCTCGGGTATTTTGGCATAAGAAATTCTGATGTTAATGTTCTTATGTACGAATCAACTGTTTTATTGAAATCATTATCATAGTTTCTAATGCGGGCACCCCCATCTTGAATAGTACACGAGGATCCTCAAAAATATTTAGCATGTTTTTTTAAAAACTTTGATAAAATTGTTTCCTCGAACAAGGCAGTGTTTTTCTATATATTACCTTATTTTCGCAGCAGCAGTAGTAGAAAGATATGTAGAATTAATTAAGCAAATCCAAAAAAAGAACTGCTTATTTAATAGTAGATTAAATGATATAGAAACTCATAGTTGTATTTACCTTAAAGCAATAGGTCCAACTGAACTCGTCAATAATACTTATGCATAGATATTGTCTGGCTGTACACACGAAATCGGCGCCTTTCTTTATCGCATGCATTCTGCTGGACATGAGTAATTTATGGCCATGTTTGAAAACGCTACGTCTCTGCTGTTACAATTTTTGCGTTGCAATAACAAAAGTGCATTTCAGTTTTAACAATCTTTACTCTAAGTATAACATTGCATAGATAATTGTCATTTAAAGCATGCCGCATATGATGCACTTGTCACTTTTTCTCACAGCTTGAAAAAACATTTAGCTAGCAATAACGGATTTTATTGCCCTATCTCCTGTGCATCATTTAGTTACTCTAAAGTTTTAGAAGTTTTACGTTCGGTATTGCCTTTAGGCATTTTATCAGAAAACTGGCCACAGTACGAAACGAACCGTGTATTCATGTTCGTGTTCGAACTTAGACCGCAGTGTGTCCCTAAAGTTAGCTAGGAAATACGTTATCAAACGGGGAGCTATCATTTAGTTCCAAACACATTCCAAGTACTGCTTTCTATAAAAAAAAAAAAGGGTGCTTCCGCCATTTGCAAGTTAAAAGCAAAGTAATTCGCATGATCGGTAGTATGAAAATATGGTATGCACTTTTCTTTAGTGTCTATTGTTAAGTTACAGAACATATTAAGAAAACAACAGGACAACAAAGATATTGATAACTGTTATACGGAACGCAAAGCATAAACAATATAAGCAATTAGTGAGCACATGTCAACCTCGCTCGGCTATGGCTGTGTGCAACATCATCTAGGAGCAACCACGTTCGTACAATGCTCCCAGTCTAGAATATGCTGCCTTAAAAATTACTTAGCGGGATTTTTCCAGACGACAGCGTCGCGAGTGGGAGTAATATCAACTCGAAGTAAGAGCATTTGCCTAGTGCGAGTGTCGAGAAAAGGGAAAGCCGCCGATTCTCGCAAGAGGAAAGGGACAGTCTCTCATTGTTTACAAATAAACTGTTACATCTATGGACATCGATATATATATATATTTGTCAAAAAAAAGCCCTCCCGCACAGATAACGTAAAACAATGGAACAAGTGGCTAATTAAAATAGGAAAAACAACGGAAGACATTTGATTCACAGTAGGACCTTATGGGCGAGTATGCTCGAACACCCAGGACGCTGCTACACTGGCATGTACGTCTAAGGAAGAAAGCTTTACAGGAAAATGCACGACCAATTGCAAATCTACCTATGGTCGTTTCTGGAAACTTTGCTTTAAAGTAAACATATGTTTGAATGAGCTTTGGACTCAAGCATACGAAGTCCAGGCAAATTCTCAATACCAGATGAATACTTTGTTAGCAGTTGAGCCTGGTCTGCATAATGTGTTAGTTATTAACCTCGCTGGAAAAATCTCCCTTCCAAAATATTGAACTCGTTAGCAACTGATAGACGCTGGAGACAATTTGTCTAGTTGATATAGTTATATAGTTGATATAGTGATATAAGTTAAGAATGTCGGTCGCTATATGGGAACTGTGGATCATCTATGTGACGGAAATTTTGTAAATGTCCTTAGTTATCCCAAATGTATGGTCTATGTAGAAGTTTTGCGTACCTACGAGAAAATTAAATTTGAAAAACTTGACGACGACACACAAAAGCGTACTCGAAAATCTTCAAATTTCTTCTTCCTCAGAAAAGCAGGTCAGATGTTGAAACCGTGAATCGACACGCGACCATTTACCGAAGCTACCACTTAATCAAGAAGCGAAATCTACAGCCCAGATTTTGACTAATCGTAGGAGCGACGTTTTCTTGCACGATATATTACATTCTATCTACGCACGGTCGAACCATATATTATTTAAAAACCGTACACTTTTTATTAAGATAATTTTCGACGTTTCTTTCCTTAAATATACCAAAAGCAAGTGCATCTGCTTAAAATTTAGCGAATTATCAAAACGAGTGGCAATTATGTTGAATAAAATAGCTAAAATATAAAAATCATTATTATCATATATTATTATTCCTTACGGATTATAAAGACTGGTATAAATTGTTTTGTACCTTGTACTAGAATCATAAGACGAAACGTGCAAGTACTGTTGACTATATCAAGAGTAAATCGGTATCGAGTGCGTCACAATTTGCCACGAGAACGTGCAATTTTCAATCTATTGTCTTCGTTTCATTGAGAAGTTAGGGTTTCTAACACAAGTTGTGCTTCTTGTTTACACCACATAATGCACCTATATAATGCATTGGACCATTCTGTATTTTCAGTTATTTTTCATGAATTATATGTTGTACTAAACGACACATGGAACGATAGAGTCATAAAAAGTAAAACCTGTAATTTTCAATCTGCCAATTTGACATTAATTACAAGCTCGTTAGCTTTGCTGAAAGGCTGAATGATGAAACTCATTTTAAGCTGAATGGGTACGTGAGTAACTAATATTATCGCGTATCATCCAGAAATGTGTCGACCTGCCATTGAACTCACAAAGAATCACTATTTGGTGTGACATGAAAAGTGGTCCTTTTCCTTTAAAAATAATAATAAAACGGCAACAACAATCAAGCGCGAGCCCTTTCGTGGCATGTTGCAAACCTTTTCCAAATTGACCAAATTGAGGGCACTGTGTACGTTCGATTTCAACAATATAATTTGACACACTGCGCAGAAAATAATCAATGTCCTTGAAATAAAATTTCCAACCGGCTGATTTCGAGGCATCAGGTGGCCGACCCAATTCTGTGATTTGATTCTTCTCGATTTTTTCCCATAAAGGTATGCAAAAGACAAGGTACAAACAACGTCGAAAATGATCCACGATCTGAAGCAACGTATTGGAGAAGTGATTAATGAAATGTATGCCACCGAATTACACAAAAAATCGTAATCTAAAATGGTAATTGCACTAGCTGTAAATGCATATGTTACGCAAATACATTATGTAAATTTACCCAGAGCTAATGCGGTCTAGCATTTCAAGCAGTAGATTTATTGAACCATTCTTTCTGACAACACAGAGACAGGCGCTAAGCACTTAACTGTAGTCATTTGTTTAACCGCGTATTCGGAAGGACTTTGATAGAGATGGACACTTTGATTTTAACAGAGCTGGGTACCCGCATCCTTCTGTGATGTAGAAGCATATCTTGATAAGACCTTTACAAACAGAGGAATTGGGTGAAAAGGTCCCATAGGGCACTATCCTAAGAACGCACGTGTGAGCC